AAAATAAAATAAAATAAACTGTCTGTAGTAGGAACTGATTATTTGATTGACTGATTGAATGTTTATAAGTGTTCACATCACTTTTATGACTAAGAATAAATTCCTTGCAGGTTGTACAGAAAAGCGAGGACGCCCCACACCTTTCCCCTCACGAATAGACTGAGGGGAAGGGAGAAGAGGGGGCTAAGGGAAATGGAAGTCCCACCAACGTCTTTAGGAATTCAACGCTGTTTCTTAACGCTTGGTAACTTAAGATGTGTGAACATCAACTCCCAGAATCCCCCAGCCAGCATTGACAAGCTCCGCGTCCAGATCTATGACTTCTACACTAAGGGCAACACCCTAATGCCACCGCGTCCTCCCTACTTAGAGCCGAGCTATAAATAGCACGGAGACGCCCACTCCTCGCTAACGGCCAATGACGTCAAGGGTGGGGAGGGCGGCGCTGGCTTTTCAGACACGGTCGCGCGGCGAGGGTTCTTTTCCCAGCGTGCACCGCTCTCTGGCTGCGTCATCGACGGCCGGGCGCAAACGGGCTAGTCTGTGCGTGGCCGGCTCCGGGTGCGGTCGACGTGCGTTCAGTTCCGCGATTCTTCGTCATGGCCTCTGCTGGGACTCATGTTTCTCCTGCCGTCCCGGGCGCCCCGCTGTCCTCAGCGCCGCCGCCTCCTCCTCCTCCTCCTCCTCCTGCTCCCCCCGCGGGGATTCTGATCGGCGACCGGTTGTACTCGGAGGTGTCGCTGACTATCGACCACTCGCTCATCCCCGAGGAGCGGCTCTCGCCGACTCCTTCCATGCAGGACGGACTAGACTTGCAGAGTGAAACCGACCTCCGGATCCTGGGTTGCGAGCTCATCCAGGCCGCGGGCATACTCCTGCGTCTGCCACAGGTCAGCGCAACCGGGGCCGAACAAATACGGGGGAAAGGCGGGAAAGCGGTTTGGGGGAGGGGGGAGGCGGACAGCTAACGGACGGGAAGGCCTGGTCTCAGCCTCACCGAAGTCCCGGCCGTTCCACTTTTCCAACGGGAGAACGGAGGGTTTAGTAAAGTCGGGAGGTTCGCGGGCGTTAGAAAGGCCCCGCTGTGGCGGAGACGAAGGAGAAGGAAAAAAGGGGGGGGGAGGAAACGGGCGCTTGACGCAAAATGGCGGCGGCTTCGCGACCTCGGCCTGCTTGACAGGCCCAGCTCTGTCGCCGCTTCCGGGAAGAAGGAAGGGAGGGGGGAGTTTAAGCACAGCCGCTCCTGCGCATGCGCCTTTCTCCGGGCGACTGAGATGGCTGATCTTTCTCTCCTCCCCGTCTGGGGATTGTCTTCGCAGGTGGCGATGGCGACCGGGCAGGTGCTGTTCCATCGTTTCTTCTACTCCAAGTCCTTCGTCAAGCACAGTTTCGAGGTGAGTTCTAGGGGCGTGAGGGAAAGGTAAAGCTGGATGGATTTGGTGGGAAGGGGGAAGATGTTTTGGAATGATTTTGTGCTTTGCAGTAATATATA